GAGAAAAAGCTTTCTAAAATGAAAGTCACTGTTAAACAGGGCATTTTTTTATGATTGCACTAGTTTTCATAGATGACGAAACAACTAAACGATAGAAAAACAATCTTCATTTTCAAGAAAACATAAGTATTCTGTTTCCTTGCTACCCAAGAAATTTCTCTCCCTCTCTCTGATCACTCTCGTTCACTGCTATCTTAAGTGTGTGTCTAGTGCAGCTAGCTTCATCTGATATATACACTAGTTTTAGGTTAAAAGCACAATAAATTAACCATAGAAAATAATCTTCAATTCAGTAAACTTCTATTTCGAGCCTTTATTCATCGTTTCACTTGTGATCATCATTGCTATTTTTATGTCGTCTAGACTATCTAGTGGCCGAAACATTCTCACACTTCAAGTTAATAGCCCAGAGATTGAGTTTTCTTATAACGATTTCAATCATAATTAACTAGTATACGTACTTTTAATAGGAAGATAAGAATATCAAGGTTTTCCACTCGCTCCCATGATTATTCCGGATTTGGCCATAAGCCTCCCCTTATCAAGAAAAAACCCCTTCATTTTCAAGAAACACACGAAAAAGCGTTGTCTTGTTGCACAAGAGTTTCTCTATAGCGAATATATATTCCTTTAGCACTTGTTCATCATTGCTATTTTGTGTGTAATGCAGCTTGGAGCCGAGTTCGTGGGAACGTTCATATTGATATTCACCGCGACGGCGGGTCCAATCGTGGACCAGAAATACGACGGAGCAGAAACCCTAATCGGTAACGCGGCGTGCGCAGGACTCGCAGTGATGATCATAATACTCTCAACGGGTCACATCTCAGGGGCTCACCTAAACCCGTCACTGACCATAGCCTTCGCAGCTCTAAGGCATTTCCCTTGGGCTCACGTACCAGCTTACATAGCGGCTCAAGTCTCAGCTTCTATTTGTGCTTCATTCGCACTCAAAGGAGTTTTTCATCCGTTCATGTCGGGAGGTGTCACTGTTCCATCGGTTAATGTTGGACAAGCCTTTGCTCTTGAGTTTATCATCACTTTCATTCTCCTCTTCGTTGTCACTGCCGTCGCCACGGACACTCGTGCCGTAAGTCTCACTCTTTCTCTACTCGATTCTATATATGAAGACTAATTATCTTGTTTGGGGAATTAAGAAACACCACTAGTTTATGTTTACACCACCGTTCTTTGTATCTTTTAATATGTAAAAAATAATCATTATTTTAGATACAAATTGACCAAATTTATCTTCCTAACTATATTAGTTGATAAATAAATAAAACTATTAATCTTCATACAAAAATAGTTGATATAACAAAAATTGTAGTTTGTTTTGTCAAGTAGTTTTGAAAAGCGTTTAATAATGGTATTTCATTAAAAAAGTGGTACTTATTAAAATTTCTACAATATTATATATGGTCTACATTGTTTATTTTATTTTATTTTGGGTCAACATATGGTCTACATATTGTTTTAAACGCATGATGTACTTATTTTCTTGCAAATGAAATAGCAAACAATGTTTTTCTTTTTGTTTACTCTTGGTTTTTATCTCCACAATTTACGAAAATAGTTTTTACAAAAAAGCTGTGGGTACAATTAATCTAGAGGAAAACAACCTATTATAACCTACAGGACGAATAGTTTTTTTTCTATACAAAAAATAATAACTTGTACGAAAACGCTGAGTGTAACGTTTTTGGTATCTCTAATGTGATTAGTGGCTTGAAGTTTATTTAGTTTGTTACCAATCAAACAAAATGGTTTTTTCCGATTTTCCAATTAGGTTCTCTAGTTTAAATTATAATCAAGATTTTTTTTTTTTACTTATCAGAGCACTAGTGTATGGTCCTGATGATAACATCTAACGTAAATAGAAAACAAATTCAATAAAGTAAATCGAAGCATGTATAAATTACCCAGTGATGATCATTTAGCTAACCCTCATTGAATAATATTTTCTTGATTGGTTTTGCTGAGCAGGTTGGAGAATTGGCAGGTATAGCAGTTGGAGCCACTGTCATGCTCAACATTCTTGTCGCAGGGTAAGTCCATAATAAAATCTTTTTAAGCTTCATAATATTATTCAGAATCATATTTCGTCAAAACGTTTTTTTTTTTTTTGCTAAATATATATCATCAAAACGTTACTAAAGCATTTTGAGTTTTTGACAGGCCATCGACTGGTGCATCTATGAATCCGGTGAGGACTCTAGGACCAGCCGTTGCATCAGGAAACTACAGATCAATTTGGGTTTATCTGGTGGCTCCTACACTAGGTGCCATAGCCGGTGCAGCCGTCTACACAGGTGTCAAGCTTAACGACAGTGAGACCGACCCGCCTCGTCAGGTTAGGAGCTTCCGTCGTTAAGTGAGTGAGAGACTTGTATCCTCAAGTCTTTTGCTTATTTATGTTACTGTAAGATTATAATAATGTAATGATATGAAAAAAAGCTTTGGAAGCTTTTGTGTGAAAGAATAAGAGGCGATGTGACTATAAGTCCACGCTCAATGTGTACGTGCATCGGTTTATCTGATGCGAACTTGTCTCATCATTGTCAAATTGTGTCTTGTGTAATAATACATTATTATGTGTGGTTTGGGTTTCTTTGTTGGTTTGCTGTTGTACGAAGCTCGGAGACGAGCCTGTTTTATCAATAAAATATATTGTGTGTAAGATTTTCTGTTCAAAGCTCATATTTTGTATGAAAATGAAACATAGATGTGATTCGTGTTGATGATAGGAAAACGGCTTGTTTTTTTATTGAAAAAATAGTAACCCCAAAAGAGCAGGTTGAAGTTATAGAATAGACAACTTATTTATATATTCACTAGAGTATTTTAAAATTGTAAGTTAAGTATTTACATTCATCACAAGAGGTTTCGTGAAAAGAAAAAAATAATGTGAATTAGGTTATACATACACTGAAACTTATTCTTTGTTTATATTTTTCTCACTAATTTTTTTCTAGATTGTAAATAATTCTTCTTTCCTTCCATCAATAAATTAATATTTAATATAAAAAAACAGAAAATCCAACACTTAAATTCAATTTCTTTTTGTTTCTCAAAGAGGAAAGTTTCAAAAGGCTTAACCTTGTATTAATTTATTAATGTCAAGACTACAAAGCATAAACCCAAATCTACATATGCCGCAAACTTTGATTCTTAAAAACAATAAACAAAGAACTAAAAAAAACCGAACTTTTGATAAAATCTTTGACATTTTCCTCTTAACAACTATCATGATTTCTACAGTTTTTTATCTTCTTCATTTGCCATGGAAGCTCTTCTCTTTCTATTGAGCATTTTTGTACATGATTGTTAACTTCTTGACTCATATCATAGGTCGAAACTGAAGAAAGTGAAGGAGGATCATTAATATTGTTCATGAAAGACGTTGAGAAATCTCTCGTGGGGAACAATGATGTGTATTCAACCTTGAAGAGCAAGCTCGAGAATTTATCCGAAAATATCGTTGTCATGGCCTCATAATCTCAGTTGGAAAGCCAAAAGGAGAAGAAAGTAGGAGATTTATTTAATCTTCTCTGTTTCTCTTTTAATATTTTTAAACTATTTTAATTTGCTTATATGTATAGTTAATTGAAGGATTCTTTAATACTAAGGTTGGTGGGTTACAAATGATTTTTGTCATTATATTTAACATTAGCCCATGACGTTAAGATGCATTCTTCTAAACCATAA